CTTCTGGTGTTTGTCTGGTGCATCCACTCTGGCTGAGAGAGGTGTAGCCCTTGATCATCATCCCCGTGCTCTCCTTCGGCTGCTAGTTGAGTTGTTTCGGCTTGATCCTGAGATAGGCACCGGCGATCGTTCTCTTCTAGTTGACATAGTGCCTTATCCTTGACCCCCTGCCTATCCACAGGCCGGCTGTCCAGACCCGTTGCGGTCCAAGGCGCAAGAGGAGCGCTATAAGACCATCCTTCTGGTTTTTGCTGGTACATCCACTCTAGCTGAGAGAAGTGCAGCCCTTGCTCCTCATTTCCGCACTCTCTCGTTTCCGCTTGGTGGGGATCTGAGTACCGAACTTGGCTCACTTCTGTATGGCACGGTGCCGTATCTGGTAGTCCGTCCTCGACTGTAAAACACGGCGCTGTATCTGGTAGATCATCCTCGATGGCGTGACACGGCGCCCTTTCCAAAAGACCATCCACGACTTTTGTTGGTGACGCACTACGCGTAGCGTCAATCTCGTGCGTGGCACCAGCTGCATGTGGTAGCATCCGGAAAAAGGCAAGCTTGAGGCATTGCTCCGCTGACAACCGTTCTGTGGGTTGTAGCTGCAGGCAAGCATCCAGGAGCTCCTGAATCTCAGGTTTTGCCGTCTCTCGCCTATTTGTTCGAAGCATCTCTGCCCATTTGCCATACTCGGCGGTCTTTGGTTGGTCGGGGAGTCCGATCCACAGCTCCATCACCATCACGCCCACCGACCAGATGTCGACCTTGGCCGTATATGGTGGCCGGTAGACCTCGGGCGCCGTATAGCGTTCCGTGCCGCACACTGTCATGGGTCGCTTGGCGTTGCTTGATAGCGCAAAATCGGCAAGCTTGGCATGTATTGGCTCTCGGGTTATGATGAGAATGTTGTCCGGTTTAACGTCGCGGTGAGTGATTCCCTTGCTATGTAGGTAGCTAAGTGCCTGTAGCACCTGATGAAAAATCGTGCGTGCCTCGCGGTATAAGAATCGCCGGGCCCTACTCTGGCATGCCATGCTACCTAGAGGGGCATACTCCATGATGAGTTGCGCTTGTTGTCTAATGCAAAAGTGGAAGGCGTGAATTATGATAATATGTTTCTGCGAGGCATTAGAGATAGAACGCGTAACTAATCATGATAGTGCTTACATGATTTAGCGTAGAAAGTATGCCAAGCTCTTTACATGCTTCGGCGCTCCCCGAGCTGCTCTGGTCGTAGCGCTTGATCGCGACGATATCGCCAGTCTCCCTATGTGACCCACGGTAGACGATCGCCGACTTCCCATGCCCAAGGACGGCGCCTAGTCTATAGCCATCCTGGCTTCGGCTAGTTGAAGGTTGCATAGTCGAGCCCGTCGAGCTGGCGAGACGCATTCTCCCTAGGCTCGGCAGCATCCCCTCAAGCTTGGCGAGGAAAGAAGTGTAAAGTGGCGACGTAATCTCATCGTCTCTCCACGGTCGTGTGAGTTCTATATCGAGCTGGGACAAACGCACCCTGATTGTATCTTGGCCAAAACTTATCTGCGTCTGTAGCCGTCTGGGCCCAAGCTCGTCCTCGACGTAAGTGAGATGTTTGGAGAGGTTACGCAGTATCACGGCACTACAGTCCGTGCGGAATGTAATGGCAAACTGCCGCTTGCTGATCCCTCGACACTCGGGGGGGAGGAGCACATCACAGGTCTCCCTATCACGGCCAAAGACAAAGCCGACGCCGGGGTTTTTGGGGAAATTCCTCGTGGTGATGCAGAGGGTCACGTCGGGCGGGGGACGCCCAGGTGCGGGTGTGCCATCCTCGCTGTCGATGGCTGTGTCGTTGTCAATCCATGGAAGCTCTTCACTTGTATGGAAGGGGCGGTTGTGCGAGTCCTCGACCATGTACGCCGGGGCTCTCACGGAGATGATGGTCCAACTCATACTGCTAGTAGATGTGCGATGTTGTGTAAAAGAGAGCAGAGAGCCGATGCCGTGCAACGCCGCGGGGAAGGGGGGAGGGTTGGGTTTTACAATACACCAGAGGGGCACGCTTCCTCTGAGTGTACAGCGCCACATTCAGCTTGAGAGCATGACAACCAATCGTCGGTGTTACCGGCGCGTAAACTCATGCATGATGCGCTGGGCTACGGATGGGTTTGGCGTTGGAGACTGGTTGGTAGAAAACAAGACGCGAGTAACCAACCATTGCGACGAATACTAAATATTTAAATTAGCGTATTGACAAAATGTTTGATACGACCAGATTTTATGGTGATTCAAATTTTGCAATCAACCGGGGGGGGGGGGGACGTGGTGTTGACCCGGAGCAGTTCTTTGGTATGTACCGTTCTTGGCTGAGGCTGACTAACAGCTCTCACGATTCCACAAGGCGCAACGCCTGCTCGCCCCAAGTACCCCAAGTACTTCCCACCTACAACATCCCGCCTGCGAACCACATACATCATACAACATAGCAGACTGCATGGTCATATCATTAACATCACCATCACTATATCTCGCAGTACTGCAGCATGGTCACGCCGCCCTACATTCCCACACATGACGACGACCCCCTCTTACCAATAGAATACCACCTGGTGGAATGCCATTCAGAGGCTCCCCCCTCGTCCAGCAGTCGCTGGTCTGGACCATGCGCCAGTGCACCCTCCGTTATCAGCTTCCATAGCTCCACGGCCACCGACCCCATATGGCGCGAGCCCGTGGGCCGTCTCCGACGCTGGAAGGAGCGCGTCACTGATACGATTCGGCTCTTCCAAAGCAAGGGCAAGGAAGGCATGAACATTATCCAGCAACAGCCGCTGCGCGTGCACGGACAGTATAACGAGCTGTTGATGAGCGACCGCACCCCTTTGCCTGACGACCTCGTCTTCTGGAAGAATACCCTCGCCTACTTGAAGCAGGAGGGACGCAAGAAGTTTCCCGAGGCCGCCGACGATAAACTGCGCCGCTCAGCAGCAGAAACGACAAAACCGCAATGGATTTATGACTGGATGAGGAAGGCAGAGGCAGAGGCAGCGCAGAATGCAAATAGGTTGGACACCACCAAAGAGCAGGAGGACAAGCCTGCCATGGACGACGCCGCCGCGCACGAGAAACCATCACCCCGGGAACGACCCGTGAGGAGGAGCACCAGCCGACATATGTTTGCAGGAAGACAAGGGTACGATGGGACGACCACTGCTTTGGAAGAGACGCAACGGCGACAGGAACATAAGCGCCGCGGCGCAGATACAGATGCCGAAACAGATCAAGAACAGACAACGCTACAAGAACCTATGTATACGACAGGGGAAACCAATAAAAAGGGGACGACGTCGACACGAAAACGACCAAGACTCGAATATTCTAGTTGCACGGTTCAAACAGACGCGCCGCCACCCTTAAAAAGACAACGACAACAAAGCAAACCACCAATTAAGCATGCGGCCGGGAAACGCCAATCTACAAGACAAGGACTCGGCAAAGGGGAAACAATAGCAGCATTCGCCGAGAATCGACTCGGTAGTGGGTGGGTGCCAGTAGGGCGGCGGGACGTGTGCGGGCCGCAGGCAATGGCACAAACAGATCAACCACTGCGACGCAGTCTGCGTATTGCCGCCCGTCGCAAGGCTGATGGGAAT